GAGTTTGAGTCTTCATATTTACTGGATGTGACACATGCAGAAAACTGTCCATATTCTTTTTTCTTTTTTTTTTCTTTTTTTTTTTTTTTAGTTTGAAGCAAATCCTTGATCTATTCAAATATGGAAAAAGCTTTGAATAGCGGAAACCTGCCATAGAACTCTAACCTTTAGTTTTGGAAGCTGTCCTGGCAGCCTACCTGCCTTCTTGTTCTTGCCCACTCCACTCTCTGAATCTGAAGAATTACCAAGTCACTCTTTCACTAAGCTTCTGGTTCCTTTTCTTACCCATCTCTTTTTCTTGGAAATGTACCTCTAACAAGACTGGTGGCAGTCTTGTTTAACTAAGCTACTGGTTCTTTTTTTACCCATCTCTTTGTCTTGGAAATCTAACTCTAACAAGACTGGGTGACTCAAGAGGTCCTTTGTCTTTTCAATTGGTGTTTCTGGTGTATTTAGTGTGTGCACTATACAATATTTACACTGTGCTTTTGAAAGGTATTTTGCATGATTCTGCAGTTAAGATACTGGAGTGTGAAAGACACTCAGGGTCATTAGCTTTCATTAAGGTAAGCAGAAAGGTGACTAACAGTGATCCAGTAATCTATGTGTCTATACTTGTCTGCAGAGAGAATTCATGATAGTTACCATGGGATAGTCAAACTGGCATGAATTTAAGATGGAACAGGGCATAGTGTGGAATATTTATAGCTCCTGCACATGCAAATTTTATCTAGGCTATTCAGAGATTGATTTTTGTGCAAGCTTTTATAAATATTTTAGAGATAAAGGGGAAGAATATGACATTTTGTCTTCTGCCAAAGTGGTGAAAGGGAATAATGATAAACATCCTAGAATTATCTAAAGGAGTTTTGAGAGATTTGTCAGCTGTTGGTATAAAAAGCCAGTGCCCCATAAGACTGTTCAGTTCTGAAGACAGTCTGTTTCCAGAGGAGTCTGGGCACATGTGCTATCCTAATGTCAACTTGCTAGATTTGCATGAAAAGCAACAACTGAAATTTGAGTCATTTGCATGCATTGCTTACTACTGACAGCCTAAGACTGAATTTTTTCCTCTTGCCACAGATCATGTGTGATCCTTTCTATGTGTAGGGAAACCATCCTTGGAGGATGGGCAGAGGAAAAGCTTTTCATAAACAATCTTTTTTTTAATAACTTTTTTTAGTAGATGTTAAAATGTCTGGTAGAATTTTTGCAATCTGATGATGGAGGGAAAAAAAAAGAATATAGATATGTAGGCAGAGAGCTAAGCTGTCCTCTTATGCTATTGTAACATCTAACAATGTGCAGTTGCTTCCCTTGTTCAGTGAACAAGAGGTTTCCTCTTAGGAAAAGAAGCTGCAGTTTTAATAAAGAAGAGAGTGATTGAATCCTGTTCGCTTCTCACAGAGTGTCAATTCTTCTCTCCTTTGCATCACTGAGCATTCAAACCTGGAGTCACTTTGCTGTGATTCACTGAACCTCAGTTTCTCTCTGCCCTATTAGAGCAACATTTGGCCTCTGGGCATGTGTAATGATCTTCATTGTATGTAAGAACTATTTATTTACATCTAACTTTGTATATGATCTTGAAAAGATATTTATGGAATTTCTCTTTTGTTGTAGTCTAGAGTGATGAAATAATTAAAAATAGTGCAACAGATGAATCAGACTCCAGAAAATAAAAAAGGTGAGTGATAGAACACTTCTGAGTTGAGCAGAAAAGAGATGTGTTACAAATTTATGCCATTAAGGTTCTAAAGGGCCACAAGGAAAACCGATCAAAAATTGCCTCAGCTTTTGATATTTTTTTCTGTTAGGGTGATCAAAATGTGCTGATATCTAATGAAATCAGATGTGCAATATTTCTTATACTTCTTTTACTCCTGGCCTTATCTGAAACCAGTAGGTGTCAGTGGAAGACTTGCTAAAGTGTTAGAGATGTCTCAGGGCATGAAACCCTCCAGCTGGCAGAAACACAGTAACTGGATTTCATGCCTGTGATGAGGAGGTTAAACCCTGAATCATGTGCTTTCAAGTGCCCTTGCTAAGCTTCTTTCAGCCTTCACTGTATCAGTCCTGAATGCTGTAGTTATCCATACAATAGTCCAGTCCCTCTTAGAGGTTTGCTCAGTGCTTTGATTCAGTAACAGCACTGAGGTTTACACTCTATTGATGTATTGCTCAAGAAAGCAGTGTCTTTTGATAAGTAAGTCTTTTGATCTGTAAGGAATCTGTATGAGGATCTTCAAGTAGGATAAAAACCCAGAAATCTGGAAAGTTGTGGAAGAGTAAAAAAAATAAAAAAGCTGCTTGCTGATAAACTAGGAAATCCTGTGAAATGTCACCAGGATAAAGTATAACTAGTCTGACCATAGCACACCTGCATTTTATGGCCTTAGTGAAAACCTGTTCTGAAAGCCATTTTCTTCCAGAGTGTGAGAACATACTGGTTAGTAAGTTGTAAAGTGGTAAATAAGGAAATAGCTGTTCATAGGGTGATGTAAAGTTCCTCTTTGAGAGAAGAGAAAGATCCAAATCTTCTTTATCTTTCTTTGTAGTGTCAGGAAGAGTCAAGCCAGCTGTGGTTGTGTTTTTTGTGTCATTTTCTTCAGCAGCTAAACTGGCCCAAATTTCTCCCTAGTGTAACTGTCTTCCCATCAATGAATGTATGCCTGAATGCAGCTGCTCTGATTATGTTTGTTTCTACAGCATGGTACAGAATTTGAGCTCCATTGCTTTGCAGTCAACCACTAAAAAAACAGTAAAATCAGTCATTGGCTCTGGGTCTCCCATGGGGCTAATGAATAAAACAAACAGAACTCTCCAGGCCAAGGCATATCTGAGGAATAGTTTTGCATAAAATGAGCTAAAAGGCATTTAAACAATGGGTAAAGGTTTCTCCTTTTCTCCTCCTTGCCAGGTACTAATTTCAGAAGTACTAACTCAGTTAACCTCAAACTTCCCCTCCCTGTCTTCCTCAATTACACATTGAGGAATTAAAACTAGCCAAGTCAGAAAGTTGTTAATGTTGCTGTTCTTCTTTTTGTCTTACTGCTCTATTTAGAAGCCCAAGCCAAGAAATTTGAGCCACATGTGCTAACATATGCTGGCACTATAGGGAACAAAGCTTTACAAATGTTGTTCAAATATAGTTTGAGTGGGGTTTTTTGGTCTGTTTTGTTGAGTTGTCTGTTTGTTTGTTTAATGTGGGATGTGTTAATGTAAGCAATTAAAAAAGTGTTCAATCAATATTAACCTGAAATGAGAACTTGACAATTTTCTCAGAGGAGAAAAGGGCGATGTGAGTATATTTAAATATTGAATAAAGTTTTCTTAATATTTTCTAAAACAGAAGGCGTCATTTTCTTCTCTCTAGATAAATTTCTTTGAGGCCCTTCCAGGACCAGTCACATATTCTGATCTACGGAGTTGAGACTATGCTCTTCTGTCATTTACAGTGCTTCACAGAAAAGACAGGATCTTTGAGAAGCCAGTGGCTGCTGGGCCCCAGGGCAGGAGCAGCAGGAAGCACGGTCCGGCCCTTTCCTCACATGAGCAGTGCATCCCTTGCATGTGGCTCACACTCTCTTCCTCCAGCCTGCCTCACTTTTCATCAGAGCTGCTGGCTCCCACTGGAGCTATGGAGTGAGTGCTGATACTGCACCCAGACCAGAGGGATGGAGAGGAGGGCTGCCTGCCACTGACAAACTGCTTGGAGAGTAGGAAATTTAGGTGTTCTGTGATCTTTAATGCTGAAATATCATCATTACCCAATATAATGCCTAGTCCTGAATCTGACACCCTGGCACAAAGCTGTTATATGTCAAATGAGGCTAATGAATTGCTGCAGAGTCTGAAAGTCCCTCCCAGATTCAGGGCAGCCCCTCAGTCAACAGGATTTTCCTGAGCTGCTCATTGCAGGAGTGAGACAAGCCAGAGAGTAAGGCTAGAAGCTCTCACACAGCAGAGAAAGGCCAATTCCTCCTTTCCATGTTCTCACTCCCTTCACCTGTGCCTTTCCTTCCTCCTTCCTTCCCTTCTGCATCTGCAAAGCCTTGGACGTGTAACCCTGCACCCATCTTTCCTGGCTATTTTGTTCTCCATAGCTCCCCTTGCACCTGGACACAGGTGTGGGAGACAGATAAAGCAGGGCCATCCTCAGCTGCACTGCCCCCAGGGAAAGAAAGAAAGTTTATTTCTATTAGTACAGACCACTGGAGTGAAGGGCACTATTTGTGCATGCAGTTCCTCTCCTTCCCTGGATGAGGAGCTGGCAAGGGCTGTAGCACAGCCCTGGCTGCAGCAGCACGGACACTGACAGCCTGCAGACGAGCTTGCTGACAAGCTGTGAAAAGCCAAAAAGGTCTCTGCCTCAAATAAGATCCTGGCTGGACAGAAGCATGAGCTGGCCATGTAGGATCTTGTAACACAACATTATTGACTTGTACTGAGGTGAATGGGTGAAGTGACAGTGAAGCTGGCTTGTAAAATTCTGAAGTGCATTTTTTTCTGGACTTTCCTAAGGGAGTACAGTTTATTTATTCTGCTCCTTGTGTGCTGATATCTGTTCTTTGTGCTGGGACTCAGTAATTTCTTCCTTGACTCTGTTTCCTTTGTGTCAGAGCCTGATTCTTTGTGCATGAAGAGCTAAAGGATTTTGGTTGGGGGTGTCTGTGAAAGGTGAGTGGCACAGCCCACTGTTAATGTGCCAGCATTCATTTCCTGGTGGGAATAAAGTGTGGGTACAGGGGGTGTGTGTACCCAACAGAACTGGGGACAATATTGTGGGTGCTAGGCATGGTTAACTTAAGTTTACAGGTGGGTATTCCTGCTAAGAACCCCATGGACACAGCCTTGGATGACAACTAGCTTTGCACTGCCAGCTCTGTCGTTTACCGAGTGCATTTTGCATGCACTTTTTTACTTCTGGAAACCTGAAGCAGACATGAGACGAAGAAAATAGCAAAAAACTGCTCTCTGTTTCAGAACAGCTTGAATCTATGAGGTGTAAAGTTCTTGATAAATGGGAAGAAATGAACACACTAGAGACCGTGAAGAAAGAAATAGTGGTTTATGCCATGGCGGTGCATATAATGGCAAATACTCTTAAAAAATACAGGCAAAAAATAATGAATTCTAAACACATCCTAGTAAGATTTCTGAAGAACTATTGGTGTCCATGTATCCATGTATTTACTACCATGGACCTTTTAGCACTGAGATATTGCCCCTCAGTGGTCTTTATTTTACCCTCACACACAACATGTGCTTAGTTTGGGTTCTTCTCTGCCCCTGCAATGGGAGGCTTGTAGGCTGACCCTCACTAGCTCAGATGGGAATCTACAGACATAGAGGTTATTTCTGTATTTCATGCTGCAATTCTGGGACTTTGCAAGTAAATGTATATTAAAAAACAGGATCATTATTTTTAACCAGTTTGTTTCTTAGCCTGGAGAAACAAAAAGGTTCTGGGTGGGATTTTTAAGTATTCCAAGTTGGCATCATCCATCCTTGAAATGAATGCTGAAATGCCTAGTGACTTTATAGAGGGAGAGATAGGACTGTCTCTCTGATTTCCTTTGAAATTTCTGGATGCTGAAATAACCAAACATTTCTGGAGATTATCCTCTTGTATATAGGAATGACCACAGCTGTGAACACATTTTGGATGCAGACAGGAATGTCAAGTCTAGATTGATTCAGAAGTCTTTGATGAATTCTTGATATCAAGTAATTGATTTTTAATAAAATGACAAATATTAACATGAATACTTGTTTACAGAACACAGTTGTTACTTGTTTGTTTTTTTGTGATTCACTAGGCTCCATCATTATTGGTTCCGCTCTCATTGGTGCTGTACAAAGCAAGCAGTGAGAGATAGCCTTGTATTGAGTGCTGTGTAATCCAAGGTATAGAGTTTGCAGAAATTTGTTCATGTGCTAAAATTTACATACTGAAAGTGGCCCTAGTGAGGACCTCTTAAACTATAAAACACAGATGCTTGCAAGTTTCTGCAGGATTAGTGCATTCAGCATTTACAAACTGTATTCCTCTTCTTCTGGCTGTTGTGCAGCAAGAAATAGCACAAGATTTCAATAAAGGCACTTAACATGTCCTTGTCACCGGTTATGCTGATAAGGGTTCCAGCTGTGTGAAGTGAGGAGGTAATTTCATGCAGCTAGAAGTAAAGTCAGCATGGGCAGGGGATAATGTGTCACTGTTAATGGTGGGCAAACAGCAGTTGCTCATGTAAGGCTTATGTTTGACTAAGCATCTAAAAGGTCAAACATATATCCAAACTTACTGTCTCCTGAAGCAGTTATACCAGTTGACAGGAGATGAAATTAATTCATTAAGTATACTCTGAATAAAACAGGCACGAGAAAGCCCCCGAAATGCTGAAAAAAACTTCATAACATGAAAATTGCAGGTATAAGTACAGCCAGTGTTCTTATAATATGTTTGACCACCTTTAAATTCAATTACATATTTAAAATAATTGGTTTTCCTGCGGAATTTTTCAACCAACCCTGTGATCTGCTACCTAAGTGTACAAGAAAGAAGTCTGTCACTTCTTTCTAAAGCACTTAGCAGGTCTTCAACATCGGAGAGCTTTGGGAAATGAAGAGAATTCTTGGATTGTTTAGAAGATTTACTTGGTATCAAGATATGAAAACAATGAACCGCAGCAGTAAGTCATGAACTCTTTCTTTTTTCCTTTTTTTTTTTTTTTTTTTTTGCTAGCAAGCAGGACAACTTAGGGTCCATGTGCATTACGTATGGCTCCTGTGTAAGCTCTTTAAGATGTGCTCCCCCATGGCAAGATAACAAATGAAATATGGTCCTGTAGGGGGATAGAATATAAGAAAATAAAGGTAGTATAGAAAGAAATCTTACCCCCTAAAGAGTTGCAGGTGGGCTAATTATTAAAGATTAGGAGCAGGCCTGACTTTAACAGGCCACAGTTGTAGCTAATAAGAAGAAGAGTGCTATAAAAGAATGGGTTGGTAGGCTGAGGGGAGCTGGAGTCAGTTGGCTGCTTTATAAATAAGAAAGAGTTAGTGCTCTGAGGAGAAGCTCACAAGAAACACCAAGAAGGTGTGAAACTTATGTGAAAAGGAGACAACAGTGTGGAACCCCTGCAATAAGATGACAACATGGTCCTCTGAAAAAATATCCACTTTGGGAAGTCCTCCCTTTTGCTCTTTGAAAAATAGATATAAATATTCAGAAGGTCTTTAAATTGCTGGTTTATAGAGTGATTTTTTTGGGAAGGCTGAGCTTGTCTGTATTGTAATGAAAAGAGAGAGTCAGCAGATGGCAATGTTGTATAGTTGTCCCAACAGGAGACAGCCACATCAGCAAGGGAGGGAAACCTCTTATACTCCTTAAGTAGCCATAAGGGAAAATGGAATGGCCCCTGCAGCCTTTGGAGACTTGGCCCTTCAAGCACACTTCAGCTGAATCCTTGTGTAGGTTTTCTGAGTTTGTTATACCATTTGTAACAGCAATTCAACATTTAAAACTCCTCATTTTAAAGGGAAAACCCACTATAAGTTAAGAACATTCTAATTAAACCAGAGCATTCCCATAGTCTTTTAATAACATTTCACGATGCTATGTAAGTAGAACATGTTCCTTGCCACGTAGGATTTATTTTTAAAAGATAAGTGTGTCTGATGCATTTTCTTTTTTTTTGCCGGAATGTTAACAGATCTGTTTAACTGATCTGTTACTGCCTTTTCGTGCTCAAACTCTGAAAGTCAACTCATCAAACACATTTCTCCAATGCCAAATAAAAGTTATCTCCTTAGAACCCAATGATGTGGTTCAGGCATACAGCAAACTAGTTTATACATAAGTTACCTTCGCTAGCCCTAATCCCAAATGACTGGAAATCTTCTTTTTGGCTCTAGCAAGTTCCAGGTTAGGCCTGCTGTGCTTTGCCTTCTAGAAAGCGGAAAGCTATGGGTATAATTACTTTTTTTCCCCCTTTTCCTAAACTACTGTGGAAAGCTATTAGAGTACTTTGATCTAAATATGTAAATCAAAGCTGCAAAATCTTCCTCCTTCCAACTATACTGAAGGCACTGGAAGGAGGCAAAAGCCTGTGGTAGATAACCCTGACATATAAAATTCATGGAACAGCTCAGCAGCAGGAACTTGGAAAGACTTCTGAAAAATATAGGAACTAACAGATGTCTTGAGAGAAGTGAGTAATAGTTTGAATAAAACAATTTTAGGTTCTGCTGCAGACTCTGAAGTCTGAAGCTCTATGTCAGTAGCCAAAAAGCAGGCATCATTTCAGATATTGATGAAATGTGAAGCACAAAGCTCATTGTATGCAGAGCTTTGTCTAGAAGCTCAGTCTAAAAGCCAGAAATGGTCATGGATGCTGAAAGACAAAATCAAGTCATTTGTAGCATAGTACTGGCTGTAGCCAAAAACCATGCTGTGAACACCCTTCCTTGTTTTCATGGTAAGGACCTGGTTCTACTGTCTGTTCAGTTTCCCTCAAGGGAGAAAACTGGCCAGAAGAGAGGCTCTATGTCAGACTCAAAGATGCATGTAACTTGAGATGTAGTGCTAAATTAAAACTCCTGTCACACAGAGACTACTTACTATAATTTATGTCAAGGTTAATGGAGTAAAAACATTGGAGTATTTTATATGCTGGTCAGACCTGTTGCCAATTAGTATTGCTGCAGATTTTTTGTTATGTACCGAAAAGTTTTTCAATGTTTCTCACCATATATGCCTTTTTTACAGGAAGTAGAAGGAAATAGCACAGAAGTTTTAAATAAACTGAAAATCACTCAGGAAAATCAAAGGTGAGGATGAAATGTTCAAATATCTGTCAGTGTGGTTGCACAGAAAGTGTTAGTGATGTAAATTCCAGTCACAACAGCTTTGGGCCAAAGTAAGACAAATTAGTTACTGATAGGAGATGCATTCAAGTGTTCATTGCAGAACATACACAGTAGCAGCTGGGAGTCATAATCAGATATTATAGATTTGACTTCAGTGTGGCTCAGAGAATTAAATAATAAAAATTATGCACAGAGTTTAATTAAAAATTCTGATTGCTTCAGTTTCTTATTTATAGAATCAGAATATTCAAAGGTGGAAGGGACCCAGAAGGATCATCCAAGTCTGACTCTTGGCCCTGCACAGGACAGCCCCAAGAATGACACCATGTGCTCAAGAGCATTGTTCAAACGCTTCTCCAACTCTGACAGCCTTGGAGCTATGACCATACAGGTACAGAATGGACTCCTATGGTACTTAAAGTCTTACAAGTTTTCTGAAAGCATCCTACTGATGGTTTTTACACCCAAAATGGAGAAGTTCAAGCCTTTGTCTCTTCTGACTGCTCCCTAGTGACAGTTTTGGTAACTTTGTGCAGTGCAATTTTCTTTCTGTTGGTAACTTGCTTGAGATTCTTAAACTTCTTTGACATAAACATTTCTTTATTTGAAAGGGGTATATTATGGGATCATTTCAAGCATTTGAAGTAATATATTTTAAGAAGTTAAATCATGCATGTTTGATTATTGATGTTGCCTGTCAGAAGTATTGAATATATTTGTTTCTGTGGTGCTTTCAGTATTTTGTTTTAGCACAAGACCATTTATTTCTGCCTTGTTTTTAGTCTTCCAAAGCTCTGTATATTCCAAAGCTTTGGATGAGGAGACTCCGACCTAAAGTATGATGGAAGAGAGGCTATCCCTACCTATTTAACCACTGTCAAGGTCATGAAATGCACATACTTGTACAGGTGTTTGTTTCAGCATATTTAACATAACTTCAGATTGGTGGTTGTGAGTTTTTAGTGCTGCTTAGAGGTTTATTTTTCTTACCTGAAGTACAATTTTACAGAAACTGAGCAAACGTCAGTCAGAACTAAGGCTTTATATGAGTGGAAAAATATATCCATAAATATTTGAAATGTCTAGTTGTCCATGAGTATTTTTGTCCCTACAATTTACCAGTACAAGAAATCACTGCATCCAGGCAAATCAGGTAGTGGCAGGCTGCAGTAAATTTAATTCCTTAGTTTGCTGCATGCCTAATTTGTTAGTTTATATCTGCATGAGTAATGCAAATGATTTAATCTATCAGTTGGAGGTTGGCATCATAAGTTAATACAAGGCCTGAGGACACCCAGAAAGGCTCACTGACCTGAGTGCATTTTGGGTCAGCCTTTCAGTGTTTCAAACATTAGGCTGACTTTATGCAGTTGTCTTCTTTGGTTACAACACAGCACTAAGAGAAAAGTTTCTCAGATTTAGATGGCAGGTGGTGTTTTGTGCCATAGGGATCCTGAATGGTTGATGCAGGTTCCTGTTGTGTCTGTGACCTATACACTTCCATGTACCATTATGGCATTCTTGGTAAGGGTCCAAAATTATAGTTACAGACTTTAAAGAATTAGATGCTTTAATATAGAAAAGAATAACTCTGTTTTTATCTTATTGCCAACATTTGGTGTCAAAGGGGACGTTGTAATTGCTGACACTTGTAGAAATTCTTACTTTTAAATTTTATTGGGGAAGGTAAGATAAGAATTTATTTTCAAAGAAGCTATGAATCTTGGCAAAAAAGAATCCTGAACTCAGGTCTTATGAAAAATAAAAGTTTTCAATTAAATTATTTTTTCAAGCTTAAGATAGAAAATCAATAATTCTATTAGTCTATGAAATCTTAAATTTAAGGCTTAGCTTCTGTTAATTTTCTGTTTCTGGCTCTTGGTTGAGAATTGTGCTAGGTTTCATAAGGTGCTATGTAGAATTATGATACACTTGTTTTGTTGGAAGGTGGCAGTGCAAATAGCTTTCAATTCAGGAGCTGTTATCTAATAATCTAAGACCACTAACACACAATAATTTCAAGAACATGCAGAGTAACCACTTTATGGTATGAAGTTATTGTATATCATGTTGTTATGATTTCCTGGATGGATACATTCATTAGACTTAATGAGAGGGAGGGAAGGAATTGAGGAAGAAAAACTGTAAAGCAAAGCATGAAATTTAAATGAGCAGTCTCCCCACAAACAGCAGGGAGAGCACTTGCTAGACCATGATTTGTGTTTCACTTCCTGCTTAAATTTGCAAGGATTTCTTTGCCAAAGCTGAGTACTAGTAGATCTAGAAAGTTAAAGATGATTACAGAATTATGTGCAGAATTAATGTGGTTTGGTTTGTGATAGTTACAATCCCTTCAGGAACTGAGCATAAATCAGTGTAGCTGAGTTGTTAGAGGTTATATAAAAGACCTGTAGGAATAGAAGAGTTCTTTGCCCTTTCAATTGAAAAAGTATTGATGAATTATGTCCTAATAACATGAGCAACAGAAGAGGTACAAACAAGGTTATAAGGCATGATCACACTTGCATCTGCTTCTAAACTGCAGAAGTGATAATGAATCTACTTTCTGGTATTTCTTTGATTTATGAATTGAGAGTTGCATGATCTGCAGGTCAGGTATGCAGGGACTTAATGGATAAATGTCAATGTCATTTGACGACAAAACTTGGACAAAAATAAAACTGTTATTTCTGAGAGGATGATAGGATATATTTTGTTAAAAATTAAAATTTGAGAACATTATAAATGTGAAATAATTGGTCAGTCAAAAGGCTATTAGAAATAAAACATAAAAGTAATTAGTAGTAGGTATAGTGGAATACAAGGTTAATTAGTCTCATTTGTATGATGTTAATAATTGAATGTAATCAGCCCTGGGATACTTACAAAAGCACTCTCACTAAATGGTTTAAAAAATGTAACAGAAGGATTTTTACATTTTGCTTGAAGCAGAGCTTATGTATAAACCTTTTAAAGTAGCACAATGTCTTGGGATATTTGCATAACAAGATGATTTGTAAAATGAATGTCCAAAATTCTGCTCTCCCTTACAATGTTAGGAATTACATTTCCAGAACTGGCATTATTCTCTTTCTCCAGGACAGATCAAGAAGACCAAAACATTAATGGTAGCATGAGATTTCTGAATCAAAGTCTGTCTTGAGACATAATTAATGGAAGGTGTCTAATTATCTGAAGTCAAAACTGTATCGTCCTTTGCCCTAATGCATGTAGGATAACAGGATAACAGATATGACATTTAATTAGAGGCAAAACATGGATTAATACTTATTTAATAGCTTTGGTAGGAGCTTTCTTCAGGTACGAAGTGATTGTCCAATGAATTGGGCAAATATTTAGCCTGTGCCTGGAGCAGATAAACAATTTGCAGCCAACACTTAGCCAGTTTCTACTGTTTTTGCAGTAAGAATATGACTTGTTCAGGCTTAACAGCTATCTTTGCATTTTTTTTTTAATTTTATTTCTCATTTGAGAAATTAAAACGGCTTGAAATCCAAAATTTTGCACACTATTTTTTACCTCTAAATGGATGAAGTCATACTAGGTTTTTATTTATTTTCCTGGTTAGAGGGTTGTTTCCACAGATCTAGTGGATATAGTAAGACCTATTTTGAACTTAGTTTTCTGTTCTAATTGGAGTTGGTCAGTTATCTCATTATTTTATAGAAATGTTTGTTGTCAGTTCTTATCAGCTCTATTTGACCCATGCCTAAGTCATTGTAGGAAAGGAAGACAGCAGGAAAGCAAGTTATGCTGTGGAAATGATGGGGTCCATGCTCTCTATTATAAAACTTTATGGGGCAGTGCCATGGATATAAGCCATTTTTACTTTCAGTATATAATACTGTATCTAGAAAAGGTCTCTCTTATTTAGAAAGGTGTAGGGAGGGGGATGCTTTCTAGACCTGCTGCATCGAGGCAGGTAGCTTTTTGCCCAGATCCATTCCAACAAATTCCAGTTATCTAGCAAGAGGTTGGGGAATATAAACCATCCTCTGGAAATTGATCTTTCTCCCTTTACAAGTGACTTTGAGTGCCTGAAATTAGATTAATTGGTCTTAATTCCTTTTATGGCTCATAGTGGGAAGATCCTTGGGTGCTGCCTGTGCTTACATTGGAATGTTGAGTGTCACAGGCTTAGATCTCAGTTTCTGGTCAGTGTTTGTGTTGGTTGTATGCTGTATTTCTTTTTAGAAAGATGTGGGAGGTAGTAAGGGGAGTTTTGTTACCTGAAAAAGAAAAACTTAATTTCTGAGAGTCTAGAAGAAATTAAGTAAAGAGATATAAATACTCACCACTTCGAACATACTCCTAATTTCTTGAGGGTGTGTCAATGGAATCCAGGTTCAAAAAACTATTGTTAAACTCCAGAATCACATGTTATAATGAAATGTCAAAATCAGAAATATGTTTTCATTTTTACATAGACTATTGTGGATAGCTATACTGTCTGCATAAAGAGATTTTATCATATAACATTTTTTAGAAAATGTCTAGTGCTGATAATCATTATATTAAACAGCTGTATTATTCTGTGATGTTTTCAGTAGTCACTGCCCTCTTTCCATTATGGCTCCTTTCCATATGGGAGCACCAGCTGGTGGTTATACTCTCAGGACAGAACTCCCATGTGGAAGTTATTTAAGTACATCCAAGCTGCATCTGCTAAATAAGATCTGGATACCAGTCTTGGATCATGCCTTGAACTATGTTGGTACATACTGACATATGAATGTTGATTGTGTGAGTCTTTTCACAGCCCCCAAATTTTGACTTTCATTTTATGAAATCTTACTGTGGCACAATTTTTTTTTTTTTTTTTAAACCATAAGACAGGTTCAGATCAAGTGGAAACGTCTGCTTGATTTTGTAGAAAGCCTGAAAAACCAGATCAAATAAAAGAAGTAGGCCTTTCAACTGGAAGGTGTATTGTTTAATGCCTGTAATTAAACCTCTGCTATGAATAGTGGTTGTTTATGAAGGAAAAGTAGGAAGAAAACAGATCAGACCAACTACATAGTGTTAGCCATGCTAAAGGAACATCTCTTTTCCCATGCACTATCAACCCGTGGAAATGGAATTTTTTTTCATTTCATAAGTAATCAAATGGAAGGCAGACATGGAAATATTCACACTTTGTAGCAAACAAGACAAACCCAGAGATGTCAATGTGTTGAATGGATATATTTGCATTCACTGGAGGAACATTCATTCCTAGAGACTCATAGACTGTACATGCCAGTTTAGGTAAAATGCATAGTCTATTGCTGACAACCTGGGATACATCTATTGAAAAAAAGAAACCAAAAGAACCCAGCCAAACAAAAAGCCATAAGAGAAAGAAGAAATATCAAACCCGCTGATTCCTAACAGATAAAATGCCTCCCCCAAAACAATAGCCCAGGGCTCTTCAAATTGCCTGAAGTTGATGCTTCTTTGCTTGGTGGTTTTTTTGTTTAGCTTGGGGTTTTTGTTTGGTTTTGCTTTATTTTTTGTTTGCTTTCATTTTTGTGGGTTTTTCTATTTTATTTTTGTCTGATTTTTTTTGTTTTGTTGGTTTCTTTTTGGTTTTTTGTTTGTTTGGTTTTGAGGGTTTCTCTTTTATTTTTTGTTTGGTTTATTTTGTTGTTTTTGGTTTTTTGTTTATTTTTGATTTTGTGCATTTCTTTGTTTTATTTTTTGCTTGCTTTGGTTTTGTTTTGTTGTGTCTATTTTTTTGTTTGATCAAGTTTCATGAAAATGTTGTCAGGTGACACTGTAAGACATCAAGTTGAAGAAGTTACATCATGGAGCTGAGCTCTTAGGGTTTTTCCTTGTTTAGATTGAGGTCCATTCAAAAATTGTAGCTGCTAATAGTAAAATATCCTTAGTCTTCCTCTACCTTCTTTTTGGCCCAAGCCATAGTCTGAGATGAAGCCTAAGTTCTGCAGTGGTACCTATGGTGTCTCAGCACTCATGTGTGTCACTTGCACAGGGCTCCCATGGGATCTACCACTGAGCCACTGCTGCCCCTACCTTACACACAGACATCTCGGATCATGCATCCAGCATGTCCTAAAAG